CTCCTGCTGCTGCCGTGCCGCCGGAGCATGATTTCTGTTCTCATCCTGAAGCAAAGTTCTTAACCTGAGGTAATATTTCTGGGTTAGCGGAGGCTGTAACCTGAAGCATATGTAACCTGAAGCGTATGTAACCCGAGGTACCACTGTACTTGGGATGTTTTAACTTTCCATTTCCTTTAAACGAAGCCTGTGGATTCCTTCAGCTGGGGATAGTGGTTTAGTCTAACTATGTTTAAACATGTTTTGATGTTGCCTTGTTTTCAAACTGTCCACATTCAGTGATAAACTACCTAGAAACTGATAAAAAAATATTTCCCCAGAGCACTAGCCGTTTTGGTCTGTTGCAGCAAAAGCTACGAAGTGTCTTGTGGCACTTTAAAGACTAACAAATTTATTATATCGTAAGCCTTCAAGGACTACAGTCCACTTTATCAGCTGCACGGAATGTTACCCTGAGTATATGTGCAGCTGCTACTCAGGATAATACTTCAAGCATACCATAATAAATTTGTTAGTCTTTCAGATGCCACAAGACTCACTGTTGCTTTGACAGAAACCTTCTAAGGTCTTCCTCCTGGCTACACAGAAGGGATGAGGTAAGCAAGTGAACTTGAGGCTTGCTTCACCTTTTTCCTACTTGTGCACAGCATGATGCTAACACAGCCATCTCGTCAGCATATTTAGAGCAGATAGGTCTCATAGCTTGGACTAATTTTCACTTTAGAAAATATATGCTTGCACGATATCACTTCCGATTCCTGGTGGGCAGGGCTGGTCAAGGCCATTTTGCTACCATGCCATTAACTAAAAATGCCACCACCTGCCCTCCTTACACCTGAGGAGCCCCAGGGAACAAAAGAAGGAGGGTGGCAGTGTGTGGATTTGCTAGGTAAGTGGGTCTGGAACCTCTTGAATCTCACACTGGGCAAGAATACTTGAATGAATTTTAAGGGATCTGCAACAGGTTGCAGCCCAACATAACTAACTACCTGCCTTCAATGTGCTCCCCTTTCCGACCAAGGTAGAGGAGCTTCCTCACAACCCTCACATTAACATGCCAATGAGGGCTTGCCAAATCATAACCACTTGGGCCTCACAGTTTTGTATGAATGAGTTGGGCAAGCAGCAAGTGGAGGTCCTGTCCTTTCTAGCCTAGCAGCTTTTGAAGGAACTTCAAGGAAGCCTCGCTTGACCTAACAGATGGCTCAGGATGTCTGTCAACATGTGTTTTTCATTTTTCTTCTCTTAAATATACATTGCACCTGCTAACCTATCCTATGCTGGCAATCACTCTGTAGCCAGCTTCACACTCATGTTAAAAAAACACCCCCACACAAAAATAGCCACCAGCAACTTTTCCAGTCCGAGGCAACAGACACAAAAATTCCTGTACAGCCCTGCTAAGCAGCAGCCTGTTCAACCTATATTACATAGTGGGCAGGTGGGTGGGTGCTGAGCCCAAGGGCAAAAGAGAGGATTTCGGGGGAAGAGCCAGGCTTTCTATGGCTCCACTCTGCTAATTCTGCAAATGGTGTGCCAGTTTTGCCACAGCCAGGTCACTCTTTCCTATCTTCTGGGGTAAAGTGTCCCCCATGTTTACCGAAAAAGTGTGTGTGTAAGTTGGCAATAGTTTTTTGTTTTTGCTTTGTTTTTTTTACAAAAAATACAAGAGAAAACAGGAAACAAGGAAACTCCCAGAGCGCACAGTTCAACTGCTCACTGATATAGGAATTAGATACCCTAGGTATATTTTTTATTATTTTAATAATGTTTCAGTGGTTCACTGTAACTGCATTTAACATTTTAGAATGTATTAAGCTTGATTTTTGTGTGTTCTGCGTTTGTGAGTCTCCCCCTCTTATATGCCGCATTCCATCTCTCCTTATCTACCCCTGAAAGTGGTACAAATGACAGGATGTTTTAGCACCACAGTGTAAATCAGCTATCCTTGAAGCTATCTGAGACCCAGGAAGAGGATTTTATGATGCTCTTCCCTCACTGAAGGCTAGGTTGCCAGGGTAACACCAGACATCCGATACCTAAAATGGTCTGGGCACATTGGGGCCACTCCAAGGTAACTGTAGGGGTGAAGATACCAGTATGGAGCCATGAGTGTTTTACTTCTCATGACTTGTAACCTTTCCTGATGTATGTGAAGATGTTTTATGACTCTTTGTTTGCCGCATTTGAACTACTATATAAGCTTTGGTTTTGAAGTGCCTCAGGGCAGACCTTCTCAACTGGCATGTTGAGTTGTGTGAGCTCAGTCCTATTGCAATAGCGATAATAAATGCTGGGTCCCTAAATCTGCATGCTGGACTTGAAGATAGTTTCCTTGGTTCTGTGGTTTATTCAAAGGGTGCTTGCTCCTCACCTGGGTAACAAATAAGGTGGTGTAGAGGTGAATTCTTACCACATTACCCTGCATCAAATTTCAAAGGAGCAACACTTTGAGGTTTTATCCTGAAATCCCAGATAAAACTCCCAAGGCTATTGCTTTTTTTTGCTATTTTTGACCCTACAGAAAAAAATTTAAGCTCCTGGTCACCTTTTCAATTCACACAAAATCATAATAATCAAGAGAGCCAGACCCATCACTTTCCCAACTGACAGTCACATGTATAGAAGATAAAATAATGTGGTTTTAAAAAAATAAAACAGTAGTTTTCAGAAAAACAACAACACTTCTATTATGTTAAAGCATAATTAAAAAATGAGAGATGTTATCACGGCGATTACAAATATGCTACCTTCTTTTAAAAAGAAGTCAGGTCAGGATTTGCTATGCAAAACCATCTGATCATTTAGAAAGTAGATTTCACATAGACCTTCGTTCATAGTGAAGTGAAGTGATTCTGAATGGTCACCACATGCCAAAGCTGTGCCCAAAGCGCTAACTGATGAACTTGGACAGACTTTACACTGGAAAGGACCTATGCTGTTGCAAATTTCCTACTTTTAGAACAAAACAGTTTGCAAAGTAACTGCTCAGGTTGTTGGCAAAGAAACTGGACTATGATGCATAGAGCATTGGTTTGATTTAGCAGATTTTTAAATCTTCATAGGCCTTGCAGAATCTAAATGACTAGATCACAAGGTGCCCCTCAGACATTTTAAAAATCATACAGCATCCACAATACATCCTTCTTTAGCAAAACTTTTATCTGCCTCAGAAAGTAGATTGAAAGCAGAAGGAAAGAAATGAAGGCCTGGGGCAGGCATGGCCAAACTTGGCCCTCCAGCTGTTTTGGGACTACAGTTCCCATCATCCCTGACCACTGGTCCTGTTAGCTAGCAATGATGGGAGTTGTAGTTCCAAAACAGCTAGAGGGCCAAGTTTGGCCATACCTGGCCTAGGGCAACAATAAAGCCATAGCTAGCAAAATGTAGTGATACAAGTACCGGAGTTCTACATTCACACACATTTGAGTCATTTCTTAAGTGCATTCAGTTTGTAACTGAACCACTTCTCACAAGTGGGGGACCTGCCACCTCAATAGAGGGCTCAATTGAACATTAAATGCTTTACATGAAAGAGGAGGAAAGTAGCTTCTTGTCAACTAACCACTCTGAATGAAAAATGTTGCAAAATGGAACAGGTTAAAGTAGCTAGAACCTAGGTATAGAAGGTACTACCAATATTAAAAGAGGAGGTTAAGAAAATCAGTATAGTCTAGTTAAATACAAGCCAAGAAGGGCAGCTTTATTCACTACTTTATCATGGGCGTATGAAATTCAATGCCCTTTTGAATTAATGTATAATATTACAGTGGCATTTTAAAATAAGAAATAAAGGAAGGGGGGAAAGTTTTAAAAATGACACTTTACCTGCAAGGCACAACATGAATGATTGCAGTACGAGCAGTTCCCATAGCAACCTCATTTTCAGTTTCTGAGGTCAAAGGAGGCCCAACTCCAATATGTAATGATTAGAATGCTGCTTCGTTTAAGTTTTATACAATCTTTAATCTGTAGGGATACAAAGAGAAATATCATTACTATGAGATTCAGGATTACAGCTCCGTATGTTCTTTGAGATTCTCTGCCTTTCCATACGATCTAAAATAAATTCGCACCCGAAGGAATGCAGAGAAGCTGTTATTTTTAAGTCGGTGAGGCAGGTAAAAATAAATAAATCATACCCTTTAGATATAATACTATATTTTAACGTGTTTGTGTGTGTGTGTGACAGAGAGAGAGAGAGAGAGAGAGAGAGGCTGTGACAGAAAGACTAAGTTAAAAGAAAGCCTACAAGTTGTGAGAAAAAAGCTCTTCTGAGTTAAGATATTAGATCTTCCCACTCTGTCATCTTCTTTCCACAGCCTTACACAAGCCGTATTAACCTCACTGCCAGCTCACTAATCTAGTAATTATTATTTAGTTAATTGTACAAAACACCTTGAAGATGGCAGCCCACTAAGTGTTTGTCATCCTCTACTTTATCCCTTGACAACTTTGAACTTGCTCACATCGCAGCAAGTGGAATGGTAATAAGGGCAACCTACGGGTCCCTGTGGAGATGATAAATGCCCTTCTGTATACAAAGTCAGGGTGAGCCATTAGAGGAGAGCAAGACATCCCTTTTTGCTCAGGGAGCTAGGGCACAGTCTCCCCATTGCTCACGGCCATCCAGCAGCACAGATAGCCCGAGATTAATTGCTGCACTGTAACTCAAATCTCCCGCATGACAGTGTGTTGTCTTCCTGGCAGACCTCTGGAGCAGCTGGGGGAGGGGGGTCAGCAAGCTGGCAAACCACTTAAACTCTTTTAGCCATTTGACTGGAGGTAATTTATTTTCAGCAAAGCACGACTCCATTCTGCACCCCTCCCCTTATTAAAGCAACTTCTCTGCTATTTGGGCTTCAACGAAAAGGTTCTATCAGACTTGCTTCAGTATTCTTAATCTAAGCTCCGCTCAATCTAATATAAATTCAAACAGCCTCCCTTCACCTTTGTACTTTAAGTAGTTTTAGAGAACTAGTTCCACAATGTTTTGCCTGTGTGTTTGTGTGGCTGTGTGTGTGTGTGTGTGTGTGCGTGCGCACACACACACACATACACACACATACATATTAAACACACATCTCTTCAAGTATCTATGCCAGGCATTTTTAGATTAAAAATAAATAAAGCCATCTAATCATATGTTCTCATCATTTATTCATCTTTCTGATGTCTGGAAGTTAAGGAGCCTTCAAGTTTACAAGACAAACGGCATGCCTAATAGAAAGTGAAGTGGTATCATTAGAGGTCCCTGCCTGCTTTTGTAAGTTAAAATTGTTCAGTTTCTAATAAAGTCAGGTTCAATGTGCTGAGAAGACTAATAATCCCTATCATCTGATCTGCAGATGTTACTTGAAGGGAGTAATTGGAATATATTCCACAATTCTGACACGTTCGGTGATTAAGCTGACTGCAGATAAGCAGAAAAGTGTTGATCAATGGAAATGAATAGCATTTTAAGGCAAATGATTACAGCAAACATTATTAATTGGACAAGGAGCATGTCAAAGATTCTGCTACGCAATGTTCAGCAGCTCCTGCCTCGTATCTTTAAAGGATAGTTCAAGGATGCACCAGGTTTTAGGGCCATATACATTAATTGTGCCGATGAAATTAAAGCTCCCCTTTTAAGCAAATGTAAGCAACAACCATATGGGGAACATAGGAACCATGTGGGTGGTGAGGGGGAGTTTAACTCTTTCCATCTATGATGGTTCCAATTAACTACCCCTACCCTCAATCTATGTTTATCAGAAAGGAAGCCAATCGTAGCCCAATCTTGGGGTAGAAATTTCATCAGGACTAGGGTGGTGGTGGGGAAATGGCTAAATTGTCTCTCCCAGTCTCCTGTGGTTCCTATGCTGTTCAAGGCTCTGCCAATAAGCAACCATGGCAACTTTGGCATCAGAACAGAACAGAAGGCTGGCAGGCAAGCCAGTAGCACAGGTGGAAGGTAGCCCAGGTGAGCTGTTTTTAGGGGAATGGGAGCATCTTCCGCCTGCTTTAAAAAGGGACTGGTGTGAGCTATAAGGGAAGGGGGTGGCTTGGGGTAAGACAGAGGGGTTTGGGGAAAGCTGTGAGTGGATAGGCAAAGGGGTAGGTGAGGTATAAATGAAGAGCTGTTTGGTCAGGTGTAAAGGGAGAAGGAGCTAGGAGTGGGGGGGAAAGGAGGCCCATCTTCCAGGTCCGCACTGCCATGTGGGATCACTCTTTTTCGAGCTGTGCTTTTTCAGGTGCAGCACCCAAAAACACACATTTGGGGTGCCCTGCCTGAAAAAAGTGCAGCCCAAAATCACCCGTTTTTACCGGGACAGTTGACGGGTATGAATGCATCAGAACAATATGACAATATTTGAGTCCTGAAATATTGGACTCAAACAGCCTCAAGCTCGCAGTAAAGCCCAGAGTGGATACCATTATCTTGAGAAGTGACATTCCCAACTGTTATCACAGTTTCATAGAGTTAAAACGACATATAATGTTAAATACATCCTGGGGTAGCTCAGTTGGTAGAGCATGAGACTCTTAATCTCAGGGTCATGGGTTTGAGCCCCATGTTGGGGAAAAGCTTCCTGCATTGCAAGGGGCTGCGCTAGATTATGTTTGTGGCCTCTATGGCTGTTACTGTTTTTCTTGTGAAAAACAAACTGTATTTACTGATTTCAAATTTACCTTCAGAGCTGTGTGTTTCTTTTAAACAGTCTCGTTCCTTTAGCAAACAGCATTTTGTGGGGGAGAGGGATTATTGAGACTGTGGTGCAGAAAAACAGGTTGTGTACCATGTGCAGCCCCAATCCTGATCTACCCCGCTCTCGGTTAAAAGCCAAAAGAGACCTAAAACAAATGCAATTATGCATTTCATGTAACTTGTAATTGGTGCATGTACTTTATTTTTTTGTATTTCAAATACTGATTCTCCTAAAGCATACTGACTCTCCTTAAAACTGCTACACATGCCAGGAAGGAAAATCTTTACTATACGGTTATCCAAAAGTTGTCCCCTTAACACTTCTGTTTCAGCTATGGGACTTCATTTTCTACTCCAGTCTTTGTGCCCCACTTCAAAAACTCATATACAGGAACCCCCAGAACAGTTTGGGGAAGTGGGGATAGAGAAGATGGAAAGCAAATACCATTGTGCAGGTGAACAGGGACAGTTTTGTTGTATACGATCCATAGCTACATTTTCTGTATGTTCAATAATTTCCAAAAAGCCCCAATTTAATACATGCATTCTGCCCTTCTTCTAATTTCTGCAATGTATAAGCACAAAAAAATTGCAGACTCTAAATGGCACCAATCATATAATGTTTGCCATTTGTTTGCCTTATTAAAAAGGAAAAAAGGAAAAGAAAATCTGCATAGTTTCAAGTGACCTGAAGAGATGGAGAAAAATGATATATAAATACAATTTGAATCTAATGCTGTTCTCACATTTGTGCTGATGCTTTTCTAACTTTTCTTTTTGGCGATTCCATCCAGCTGTGGCAAATTGTTTTGAAAGGCACCTTTGTTCGTAATTGGATTTTGATAGAAAAAGTTGACTGTAAGAACTCTGAGCATGATAAGGCAAGGAAGAAGCAACATGGGCATTGTTGAAAAAGTGTTTAGGGGCTCTTTTTCAGAGGCTCTCAGCAAATGAAATACACTGCTATGGGTACTCAGAACCTTTGGAAAACAAATTGTTGAACCTATGTGTTGCTTTGATGACTAAAAAGCAATTCCATTTTTCCCATTCAGAAGGAAAACAAATCAGTCTGCCATGAAGATGTTTGCATATAAAGTCCTATTGCTTGTACTGTCAATTTCTCCTGGCATCCCATAAAAAGTATGTTTTATAAAGTAACTCAGAGCCATATCAAAAGAGCGGCAAACAAGAATAGGCTTCTTTGGGAATTGCCTCACGTTTGTTTTTCTTCTGCCCACTGGTGTGCTACTGTGTGCCAATTCTGTTAAATGCCAAAATAAATCACCATTAATGATGTATGTTGTGCATGCCAGGCAACGACTGGCATTTTAATCACCTAAATAAAAGTCAAGCTAAAGATGAGCATAAAAAACAACTCTAAAACCGAGTGTAATGACTGTTTGTCAGAGTAATGTTGCAATACTTTGCACTCTTCCTTCAGAGTAACTCAGTGGAAATTATGTGCAGGATTAGGCGGCATGTCTTCAATCATTAACATGCCAACATGGAACCAAATCCCAACAATATAACTTACTTCCAAGTAAACCTAGGGTGATTAAAGACTGTTGCAGCACAATGAATTCAGTTTCAACTTAAAAATGATTGATTCTGTTTAATCCTATAAAAGTATAACAAGAGTGCATACAGGAGATCACTAAACTAAAATTAGTTGTGCTCGTCCTTAACAACTTTGCTGTTGTTGTTATAATACGGAAGCCTCTTGTACCAACGTGCTTAATTCAGCTAACACTCTCTACATGCCCCTGAAGCTTCACTCTAGATTGCACAAAGGAAGAAGCAAACTGTAGTGTACTTGACTCCATTGAAAGGTGGCTACTAACGCTCATGGATTACTAGTGCAATTGTTTTAAGTCTAGCAGTGTTATTTTGTAATAACTGAGCCTCTGAACTATCAAGGATGTTCCATGTACAATGCATTGCAGAAATTCAGACATGACAGCCAGGCCATCACTGCCTAGGAAAGTCTGTAGCTGGTACACCAGCAGCACCCATTGAAAGTGTTTCATGTCACTATGGCCAGTTCAATTTCCAGAGTTACCTGTGCTAAATGCTAATGTACCGTTTTCCACTGTACTGAAAGTTGAGCTCCAACAGACTCTTACTGTCTTTGTAGCTCTGTAAGGGATAAACTACAACCCCACAAATACTTTAGGAGGCGGGAATGTACTTTAAAGATATACTGTGTATGCAGTCTCCACCAGCTCTTCCAACAACTTTTGGATCCTCCTCTCATTGGATTTTATCTATTTGGGGTGGTCATTACAAGAACTTTGTAACTAAGAATTAGAGTCCAGGTTTGCCTTCCCACCCTACCAAGCCCTTTTCATATGCCACCCACTACTGGGCTAATAACGATACGTCCAAATAATAATAATAATAATTCACCAATAGCTATTTAACATAGACCACTTAATTTTATCCTAGAAGAAATAACTCCAACCTAAATGGTCTTACCAAAGAAGGAACTATTGCCTTTATTCCACACTACTGCTTCCCAAAGTTCTGCTACTGGAATCATAGGGGAACTAGTTGACCCATTTTGCACTGAGTTCCTTGGAAAATGAACTGTATGTCATACATTTAAATAATTAATTCAACAGGTGTTCTTAGTAAGGAAGTGTACTATTAAAAGCACTAAAATCTTTCTTGCAGAACATGGATCTCCATTTTCAGCTGCTTCTTTTTTGAGCTACACACTTTGAAAGCTTGATACTTGCATAGTTTTCATGAAATATGTACAGTACCCCTAACTTCCCTGCAAAACATGATACACTATATATAGCACCCAGTCCTTGTAAAAGGAATTACCTGACATTAATTTAGTCTTCAAGGAGGCATTTAGTGATATATTCCCAAAGAAACTTATGCAAACGTAGTATTTCAGAAATCACCTTATTTATATTACAAGTGAAAGCAGAGGAAATAAGAAGAGGGAAAGCAGTTACAAGAGGAAGAGTTATAGACGCAAGATAGTGGGATCAACAAATGAACTCAACTCACCACTCATTCTTCCAGAAAACATGCCAGATCATGAAATGTCTCACATCTTCCTTATATGTCATGAGAATGACATATACGTAAAAGCCTTTGATATGATAAGCACCATGCAGAATACTTATATGCAAGCAGCCTACTGTACGAAGTTACTTTGTCAAATGAGGCTATTATGCATAATGTTCACAGTGTGGGATAAATGGAATTTAAATAGCAGAAGCACATATTGAGTTATTGGGTATCTCCTTGTCAGACTAGGACGTGATTTCATTTTGCTGCTACACTGAAGTCACACACAATAACAAAGCGAGAGCCCATCTCAGCCTAGCAATTCATACTTGTCAGGCCTCTTCTCTCTGTGGTGTACAGAAAGTCCCATTTCGCTGCAGCACATCCACCATCAGTTGTCATGAAACTCAATCACAATCTAAACAAAATGAGAGACTTAACATCACAGAAGAGACAGTGGGCTCTGTACATAGCTTTGTTATTTTGTCTCTTCCAAGTTCCTCAAAAACAATTCTGAAAATCTGACAGATTCCTCTCCTCTCCAATAAGCCCACCCCCCAGCCTGTAAAAGCTGCTTCAGACTGCCCTCCAACCCTCCAGAGCAGATTTTGAGGGGGTTGCAGGGATGAACAGATGAGGGTTCAGTCCTAGTGCATGAGTGGAAGTCTGTTCTGCTCATTCCTGGGTAGCATTAGATAAACTATACTAGTTCATATGAGAATGCTATTTTATTAAGTAATTCCTGGTCTGCTTAGACATTAATTCCTTGATTAAAAAGCCCTTGCCACAGTGTTTTGCAAATTACATGGTGGCAACTTAGGTAGCCGATACAGCAGCTGCAGCATTGTTGTTTTTGGGTGAAGACAAAGGCAAAGTAGGTGTTGAGCAGTTCCACCTTCTCTCCTTCTTCTTTCTCAGTAGGTGGAAGTGTGACTAGGCAGGCCCTCAAGCTGCTGTACCTTCTTTTCTAGCAAGGCATCTGCTGCAGGACTAGTTTTGTATAACATCCTGATCCTATGTCTACTCTGAGACAGCACCCCGGGACTCTCCCTCAAACTTCCTCACTAAACGCCCTCACAAATGCCTCTGTTTACAACCACAATGATAATGGTAATAATTGTATCATTTATCCCCCACCCATCTGGCTGGGTTTCCCCAGCCACTCTGGGCAGCTTCCAGCACATTAACAAATGTAAGTCCTAGTCACAAGTTGCAATCAGCTAAATAGAACTCCTACTGATTGTTAACGCTTCCCCCAATTTTTAGAGGAATAGAAAGCTACTGTAACACACACACACATTTTAATTCTTGTGGTTTACAAAAAACAGAGCAGTATGTATACAACCAGTAAATCAGTAATGCATCAAACCATTAACACAAAAACAATTATCTATAACTGATATAACTTATATTGGTTTAAACTTTACACTGTTAGCTGTTCTGTATTTGTGTATATTCTTTCAACCTAAATGCAGGTTATAAATGAATTAACAATGCTAATAAGTAAGTAGATACATTTCCGACCAGCTACTAATCTCATCTCGTTCTTTGCCTGGAGTGGATTTCTAACCTAGAAATACTGTGCTCATAGTTCAAATATTTTTCATTGTTTGGTTAAGAGTTCACATTTCTACAAAGACTGAAAGGCCCATTTCTCTGTAGCTTATATTATCTGATTATTTAACTGCCTTTCTCCTAGCCTACAGATACTATCTTTCAAGGCTGCTTCACACTGTCCATTCTTTAAGTGAACAGCTTTTGCCTTCAACCCCAGACTTTTCAAACATAAGGTTAGGAGCTTAGTTCTTTATTACTCCTGTGATGCCATTAAGGTTCCACTTGCCTCACACAAAAAGACATCCACCCTTAATTTTTCAAACTAATAGCATCTAGAAAGCTGTGTATTTTCTCTTACTGAGAAAATAGGCTTCCCAGAGCAATTGGGACTAGAAGTAAATTGTTGGAATTTATCTCCCAGCATCCTTTGGCATATCCATTGTGCACTATTCGGCTGTGGAAGAATTTATGCAGTATCAGCTTTAATTCATTTTGGGCTGGACTGAACACAGTCTGCTAATTTAGCTCATCAAACAAATCTACATTGAAAACATACTATTACTATGACTACAAAATTGTTCAGTGTTGGGAGTGTTAATCTGACTCAGCAGTTTGTAATTTAAGCAAATGTCAACTATATATACAAATATATATAGTTTAATGAAAAGTCCTGATGTGTGTTGTGGTCATTGAAAATATGTAACAGTAGATTTGAAGAATTTTGCTTTCTTTGATCAGAAAATAAAAATGATAAGTGGTTTAGTGAATGAAAGAAAATCACGGGAGAAAACAACATACTCACATTTATCCAATTTCAAATTACATAAATTATTCTTCTTTAAAAGCTGTCACTGTTGAAAGCAATGTATTAACTTTTTCCACCAGCCAGAGACTGGAAGATGACATTATTTTACACTTTGTTACTTTTTATTTCTATGGTGAAACTTTAGCATCAAGACCTCTGTGTGTTTGGAATGTTCAATATGCCAGACTAGAAAGCATTTTTAAATTTGCATGGCTACTCATCAATGCAATTCTCTAGACAGGTTACAAATGGTGTCTGTCTGTCGATAGACAGTATTTAATCTGTGGCATAACTTCAATGTGACTATACGCAGAAGAGAACACCAGGTTTATCAAAGGTGGTGTAGAGACACTTCAGATCTAAGACTGCAGTTATATACACACTCAAAAGCAAGTAAGTGTGATCAAACTCAAACTTATTTCGGAGTAGATATGTAGAGGATTATGCCAATTCACACATGACCTAGTGACTTATTTTCTCCAGATACACTTTCCCCCCATTCATGTCCCACGTATGAAACTGCATGGGGGCGGGGTATCAAGAGTGAAAAGATACTGCTAGTATACAGCTTAATGATATATCCATTTACTGCCCAGATTTCACAGTCATGTTCTTTATGTGATTCCACACGAGGCAGGGTTGGGAAGAGAAAATGAGTAACCATCTTGAATACATGAATCAGATTATATAATCTTAAGAAGAAAGAAAGCTGGCAAACTATGCTCCACTACTACACTACCTAAATGTAATATAGACTCATTAAATCCTATTCACGTATAGTCAAATCACATACAGTGGTGCCTCAGGTTACATTCGCTTCAGGTTACATATGCTTCAGGTTACAGACTCCACTAACCCAGAAATAGTGCTTCAGGTTAAGAACTTTGCTTCAGGATGAGAACAAAAATCGTGCTCCTGTGGCGCAGCAGCAGCAGGAGGCCCCATTAGCTAAAGTGGTGCTTCAGGTTAAGAACAGCTTCAGGTTAAGTACAGACCTCCGGAACAAATTAAGTACTTAACCCGAGGTACCACTGTACAGTAGCGTTTCTCACTTAGTTACGTCCTAGCATTCATCCATGTGAGCATCAGTCCTCACACTGGCCTTTTTTCAGCTGCAACACTAAACTATGGTTAGCATTATGGGAGGAAGCCTTGGGCTATAAAGACTCCCCTTCCCTTCTGATAAACTTCCTCAGCTTATCACAGTTAAGTATTATGTTCAAAACAGATCAACGACTAAACCTGTTAGCATCCAAGCTCATTTCCTTTGGGGATTTTATTATTTCTTTCAAGCAGCATCTGGTTGGAAATCAAAGTTTTTATTAACAACAAATGCTATACCGTGACTATTCAGTTTATCCTGTATTTATTTTTTTATCTTCGGCAGATGGTTGTAAAACTATTAGCATTTGTTCTTTTAAAAACATTCTGGAGGGATCAAATAATACAGACAAGTAAATACAAGGAGCAGTCAAGCAACTGTAAGTGGTTGATGAGGATACAAATAATCAGCTTAATTTAAAATTGGGCTTTACTTCAGCCCTGTAAGTGGGTAATGCTCATTTGGTGTATACCAAACCACAAAGCTACTAATCTCGCTACTTTCAAAATGCAAAACAAATGATCTACAGGTGCTGAGCAACAGGTTTTGAAAAAGCAACAGCTCACCTGATGTCAGTGGGAAGCTCCAAAAAATTATCAGAAGTTAGTACAGAGTGGCTTGGCAGCTGTTACTCTTAATTCAATAGCTTCTGGGAATGCTGAAGCCTCATTGAGACAACTTCTTTTTTTAGAGGGGAGTCTGCCCTATAGGTCCTCCTACTTCTTTAAACTTACCATTTTATATTTAGGTAAAGGTAAAGGAACCCCTGACAGTTAAGTCCAGTCGAGGGCGACTCTGGGGTTGCGGCACTCATCTCACTTTCAGGCCGAGGGAGCCAACATTTGTCTGCAGACAGCATGTGGCCAGCATGACTAAGCCGCTTCTGGCGAACCACAGCAGCACCAAAGCTGTCAACCTTCCCATTTTTGGCAGGAAATTCCATTATTTCAGCGCCGTTTCCCGCTGCTATCCTGGATTGTTAAATATCCCATAGACTATCTCTGGGAAAGGTGAGGCTGCTGATCCCTTATTTTCAAATCCGAAAGTTGACAGCTATGCTGCTGATCCTTTATTTTCAAATCTGAAAGTTGACAGCTATGAGCAGCGCACAGAAACACCGTTCACCTTCCTGCCGGAGTGGTACCTATTTATCTATTTGCACTTTGATGTTTTTTCAAACTGCTAGGTTGGCAGGGCAGGAACCGAACAAGGGGAGCTCACCCCGTCACAGGGATTTATTTTATTTCCTTATGGAATGTATTATTCACTTTATATTCCAGAAAATTCAAAGTGATGTTCAGAAAGTCTTTATATGTAATTTAATGCTTGAAAATAGATAAGAAGCATGGCTGTGACCATCTCTCTGGAAAGGCTTGTCTAGATATGTAATAGGCACAAAGAGACCGATATGATTGGTGCTTGTCTAATTTGTACAGGGTGGAAATTTCTATACAACTGGTATTGCAATGCTAAAGGTCTGGTTTTGACTTGTTATGGAGCAGATGTCCTAGGCACCATTGGAAGAGCTTCCTGTGATGAGCACAGCTGTCAAACAAGTATATAGGGGGTGAGATTATCTTTCAAACAACCTCGTGTTGAATTGTTTCAGGCCCCTTGCTAAAACTTTATATTTGGTCCAGAGAAATATTTGCAGCTACTGTAGGTTGTTCAGTCATAGTTTTATATACTAGGAGTAGTCTATTCCACTTCAACCTACCTTTTTTGCACAAACTGAAGCTTCCAGGCTAACCTTAAGGGCATCAAGAGTATTGAACTAATTGAGTATTGAGGTTAACCTCTGCAAACTTTGATAGGTGTCCATCACCTGGCATCCTGATGACATCAGGTGGTAGACAGATGGGTGGTCCTGTCCACCCATCAAAGCTAGTCCACCAGAAGGGGGCAAAGTAGGGATCTGATTTGATCTAGTCCTTTACCCCCTGTGCATTTTTTTAAGATAACATTTTATTTTTGCTTCTTTTAGAAGAATTACATTGTGTGGAAAAATCCAATCATAATTTCCCATGCAACATCCAGTTAAGTTCTCAGTTTGTTCACAGCAACCAAATTACATTTGTCATTCAGCAAAAAAAAAAAAAAGCCAGCCATACAATTATATGATACCTACATGTCCATGAACTGATTAATTCTATAGAGGAAATGTTTTCATTCTGTCATTGTCCACTTTCTCAGTAACTTCCCTGAATTGCTGAATATAACTGAAAATAAACTCTGAAATAAAAGCAAAGAAATTGCATTGCATTCAATTTATGTAAGGCATTATTTAGCTTAAAACTGATATAAAAACCCTGCATGTTTACAATATCCTATCAGAAGGCTTGAAAGCATGAATGAAATAGCACATCTTAAGTATGTGGATTTTGTGGCATTATTGATACCAGCCCTCCCACCCTTTTTTATTTCCCAAGGAGTGAATTATAGTTGTATAAACTCAGCCTCACACTAAATGCTGGCTCCTGCTGGAAAGAAAGCAGTAAGACTGCAGAAAGCTCTTTCTCCTAGCCAGAGGCTATCAAGCTGCTAAAGTATTCAGCAGTCAGCTGTGGCATGCAAATGAGAGGAAACACCTGCAAAAGCAACATCAACCCCTGGTAATACCAGAAAGATTCCTACAAGGGGTATCATGTGGGATGATCGGAAGTGCACAAAATAATCTCTCCACTAACCTGTCTGCAGACCCAAAAATGTAATTTTCTCAATCTGAAAGTGTTCATACTTGTCCTCAACACACTACTTTTGACCTACATTGATTCTGGACCCTGTCATCCACAAGTTGGTGAGGTTACTTGATATGTGTCTGAAAATTATCCCCTTAATTAGGTTACCCATACCTTTTCCTCCCTGCACATGCCCCATGTGAATGAAGAAAGAAGCAGTGGTTGTGATCTTGCCCACACACAGCACCATTGGACAGGTGTGGATACACATCCCCCACTGCCAGGACCACCTGTGTTTTCTAATAGACACACTGCTGGGTAATGCAGAATCAATCTGCAATCAGCTTTTAGTTTGAATTCAAACCAGGTTCTCAAGAAGCACAAAGATATGCAATAAATCTTGATTTTGTGTGCAGACTATGGAGAAAAAAACAAGTACTCCATTGAGTCTAGAATAAAGTGTTGTGTGTACATAGCCCTTATGTGTTCTCTCTCTTTTTTAAATAGAGAAGAGATATACATCCAACAGCAAAGGGCCAATTTTGTATGCAGAAGGCCACAGATTCAATCAAAAGCATCATCAGGTAAGGGATTTCAGATAGTGTGGAAGGGAAATATCTCACTCTGCCCAAGACAATGGGGACCTGCTGACATTGAGATTAGATAGTGCTGGGTTAGATGAACATATGAAGTGACTTGGTATAAGGCATTCATTTATGTTCCTTTGTTCAAGTGGACAGAGCCACCACCACCACCAAAAAACAGGAAATTAATCTTCCATTTCATTTTCTTCCATTGCATGACTTTCACAGATACAAGAGGAGTAAAGGACTAGTCAGCTAGTGTAAAAGAGCACAAGTAGACTTCCAACTAATTCTCACAAAATCAAGAGAATACTCTCAAAATCAAAACTCATCTATAACTCCTAAATACAGAAAAGGAAAAAGGGGCCACATAAAAAGACAAAGACATGATTAGAATAAGGAACAACATTATGAGTATTGTTAAGCACCGAAATATCTCTTAGCTAGATGAATAAGCAATTTTTAAAAGAAATATTAAGCAAACAAGTTGAGGCACCCAACAGCAAATGACCAAGAACCATGATCTATTTAAGGGATGGGTTTGAGGGTTGGGGAGTGGAGAGCTAATCTCATTTGGGAAAAATTTCCTCCCATCCCCAAACAAGTGGATTAGACAAACCTTGGGTATGCAGAAAGCTTCATTCACCATTTTACTCCACTCATTGATGGGAGACTGCTTTCTTAGTCCTTTAAGCACCAGTCCAATGTGACCAATACCCCTGGAGCCATCTTTGAGGGTTAGTGTTTCTCTCCCCTTCCAGGATTACAAATAACTCTCACTGACTTCAGTGGGAGTTACTTGTATCTGCCAGGGGAGAATCATGATGGAGTGTGCAAGGAAGCATTCTGCCCTTAAAAATGTCAAAAATCATTAGGAGTGACTGCGCAGCATGAGCAGGAATCAATATTAGAGAAGACAGGAGTAAGCAAATGAGACAGGAAGTGGAGACTGTTAAAGGGAAACCTAGAAGCAAAATAGAAACCTGTGGGGGAGAGAAAGATATTGGCCCAGGGATAAAAATATACGCAGGGGAAGGAGGAGGAAAATGAAAATAAAGAGAGAAATGAGACACTAACAAGCCTCAGCAGCAAAAGAGGGGGAAGAAAATGGCCTTTGCAAGGGATTAAACAGAAGGAAAACAGATTGGATTATAATTCTGAAGCTATATTGTAGCAATGTGATTAGGATTTTAATTTATTTTTGTATGTTAATATACAAGCACTGTAATATAAATGTATACCATGTATCATATTTACATGTGAAAACTGGAAGTTACATTAACTATACATTTCATAGGTAATGTACTATACAGTTCCAAATTCAGTCAGTTTAAAGCATTTGCATACTTGGTTTTTGCTTAAGAGAAATTATTCCAGTTCAAGCAGCATTTCACCATCAACTAAAAAAGATTTTTTTCATATGTACATTTCCACTTCATACCTCAGCATTTAAGACCTACTATTTGAATGGGTTTGTCAATGCAAGTCATTGCTAGATGCTGCTGCTCTATGAGATATTATATAAAAGTAAACTATTAACTAATGGAGTGTAAGGAGAAGGGGTAATAGTCTCCTTCTGGAGTAGTTCGTCCACCTTTGGTCCCCACCCTGCACTTGGCTGTGGCTCCTAAAAGCTGTCAGCATGAGGCGGCAGCCACACCCTGGGAATGGCTTCAACTGGCTGGCTAATCTTCCCCTGCATGTGGAAAAAAGGCGCCAGCGGATTGAGCAAACAAGATCAATAGTGGGGTCCAATGGTCAAGGAGGAGGTTTCTGCACATGCTGTAGAAGTGAGGAGCAGATGGGGCTTGTCAACCTGGGAAGGTAGCCCACCTAGAAGAAGGAAAACTATGCTCCTAATCCTCTGCTGCCTTGGGGGGGGAGGGTTGGGAGAAGAAAGACCCTACACAAATCCGGAGTGGAGTCCCTAAGACAGCTGGATGGCACCTTTTGCACCTTCTTCCGGCAACCAAGTTAGTGCCAAACGTATTGTTCTGCTTTCCTTTGGACCACATCAGAGAAGCTGAAGGTGGTCTGGTCGTCTGGGCAGTCCAGGACCTCCATATACACTGCCTAGGCTTGTGCCCCAGGGATTTCACTTTGGTGCTGCTAACAGTGATTTGACTCCATCCCTGGAGGCACACTCCATTGGTTTTCAAGGCAGATGGATGCCAACAATAATGACTTTGGCTCTCCCACCATTGAACCTGATGTGTTTCGACTCTATGTGGTTCCAGCTTTAAGCACAATCCCTAGAACGTAATCCCCGTTTAAATTCCAGGCTTACGGTATCCGGGAAGAAACTACAGGTTTCTAGATGGCTAAACCAGAATGAACAGATTACTTGCTGCAAAGCAGCTGTAATACTGCTGGATCACTTCTCTTTATTCTAAAGAAGAAAGACATTAAATAAAGGATATTTATGAGCTACTGAATGGTAAGTATCTTTCCTGCCTGAAGAAAATATTAATGAAGCAGACAAAATTTAAAATTTGTTTCCCAGGACTAGGAATTAGTTCACAGAGCAGAAGTACGGTAGATAGGAGTAACAGGAAGTTTTATCTCCTCCTCCCCCCCCCCATGTGTCCACATCATCTAGACACACTGGCCCACATTATTTTACTTAGGTATTTTGAGTAGTGGATTATTTAATTTGCAGCAACTGACTTTTAACAGCCCAAGCCTCACATCAACTCAGTCAAAATCATTTTGCAAGTGAATGATCCTTTGCTGGTGACAAATCTTCTGAAAAGAAAACCCCAAACAACCCTCTGGTAACACAAGATGCTCCATTTCCTTAAATTGCTATATAATGTGTTACAAGGCTGAGGGCTACAGGCTTGAAAAATTATGGAGAACATGATATATGTGACTTGAATCATGTATGTTCCCCCCTTTTCTATTCTTTGTTTTAGGTATATTTATTATCACTGCAAAAAGGACCAACCAACTTAGCATCCCCTAACATCGATTCCAGCTAAATATCTCTCTGAGAAGCCAACTGTCAAATCATCTCCCACAGCTCAAGAGGCAACGGTTTTCTTCTTTTGTTCCATCCCCCTCTCCCCCACGTTTCTTTTCCACTGGCTAACTTTCAGCCTTCAGTTAGTAGAGTCATATCCAACTCCTTTAGCCTCAAACTATAGTTCCAAAAAGGCAGTGAGAAATCAAGATCAGCTTCAGCTGGACCAATGGAAATCACACGAAACATTATGCTGTCACACAATATACTCCAAATATATTAAAGTAGTAGTACCATGGAGGTGCACACCTTATAGTACCCAATCTTTCAATTTATGCAATGAACTGTAATTAAATGGCTAAATACACATTCCTACCATGGTTTCCATGTGTGATATAAACATAACAGGTAAAAAGAAACAATTGACATGAAATATTCACCTGTTAAGGAACCCTCAGTTAAGGAGCACCACACCTCAAAACTCACAGGCATTGTACTCAGTTGTAGCCTTCAACATACCAAACTGAATACAAAAGGCTAAGCAAAAAAAAAAGGAATCACCTCCAACTTTCTCATACACCCTGAGATGCAATCTACCAAGTCATGGCTTTCAGTAGAGCCCTGTTTTAGGATATCACTTATTATGAGTCTCTAGTACACAGACATCTTTCTTCTTCACTTGCCGAGTTCCATTGCATCAGAATCTCTGGCTGTTCTAAATGAAGTTACTGACTCAAACTTGTGTGCATGAAAGGGTTAACCTGGTCCCTGAGCTCAAGTTACCAGTGTGAGTATGGCTTAGCAGGTTCTGCTTCCTCCTCCATTCTCAGTCTTTTTCTCCTTCATGCAAGTGAATTGACTCTCTCTAAAATGAGATTTTATAGCCTGCATCTTTGCTAATCCAAATACTGAATGATCTTTTTATAAGGAAACCTAGTACTTTTTTCTCTTTTTAAATCATTTGGAACCTTTTTCATCATCTTTTTCCTACTCCTAATGGATGATCACTTGTTTGCTGTAACTTCTGGAAACTGTGAGTAAAATATTCACTTATTTGTGAAGCTAAGTGTCTGTGATTTATTCTAGCCTAAGCATTTTCATGGAGAATGTTTATTTAAAGGTGGATGAGGACAGATCTAACCCTAACCAAGTTTTAATATGCTTGGTAGCAATCACCATTGCACTTAACTCTCCTACTGGAGAGTAGGAATCTCTCTTCCAAACCTCTCTCCAACAGTAACCTACACTCAAAAGGGTCAAGCTGCTAGACACCCAAGTTGAAAATGAGGGTGGTTTTCATCTGGCTTTGTTAGTCTGGCAACACTAGGCTTGGGACAGGTTAATGAGCAAACTATATCTGATTGGGGCAGTAGTACACACAGAACTTCAGCCTGTTGCATGAACCTTGTGGGTGTGTGGGTGTGAATGAGTAAGTGTGAGAGAGAGACGGGCAAAAATAATGACTATTGTATCAGAACAGAATTATTTTATATCACATCTGAATCTTGACAACCGAAATTTAAGTAAATAACTTCACGTTTCAGCAACAGAGGCCTATCAAAGACATGTCCAGAAGTAAAATATCAGGACTAAAAACCTCACCTGGTGCTAAATTAGTTATTACTTGGAGTGATTTTGCTTTGTATAATAATATGTTTACTATTCATGTTTCATACACCATAACCACAAAAATCTCACCCAAATCTAAGCACTTCATGGTAGTAAATCTTCATAGGCAGGCTCAAATAATAACTAATATTCCCCTTGGTATAATGATAGGTTTATTGAAAGTTTAAAGGAAGATTAATTCCCTCAAACATAGACAGCACACAATTTGTTGACTCAAAATACTTGGTGGTCCAGACTTTTTCACTAGGAAGTGATTTCCATTAAGCTGTAAAAGTGAGCATGCCTTTATCGAAAGAATTTTAATCATTGTATCTTTCTCCTTCCTATGACAGCTGTCATCGTGTCACCATAGCAGAAAGAAGTTAAATGTCACTCCCCAGCTTCCAAGTTGTCACTTAACAGCAATGAAATATGCATTGTTCCAGAGAGGAGAAATAAACATTTTTACTGAGAGCTTCAGGATGCTCTGAAAACTTTCTAGCAAGCTCATGCATTTTGCACATGATGCAGAGCAGAAACAATTAAACATCCCTCCCCCCATAAACACATTGCACAATTGAAGCATGCACAAATTACAGCATATCATATGGGCCGGTCTTGGAAGTCATAGAATCATAGAATTGTAGAGTTGGAAGGAAACACAAGTGTCATCTAGTCCAACAACTTGCAACACAGGAATCTTTTGCCCAATGTGGGGCTCAAACCCACAACCCTGAGATTAAGAGTCTCATGAAGAGCTAGTTCTTCAACAATGCAGGGTGCAACCACAGCATGCAACAGATTCTTGTCCACCCACTGGTTAAATGCTCCCATGAAAGGAGAGTCCACCAGTTCCTGAGGCTGTCTATTCCAATATTGAACAGCTCTTACTGTTAACCGTGAAATCCAAATTGTCATTAAATATGTAACAAGTTCATCATAAAGTCCCTAGTCAGGCATACAAAGAACATTGTCCTTGGAACGTGACAGTAACCTGGATTAGAATTTACACTGGAATACGTACTCCATCTTGTCATTTCAAACAGTGAGCTGGGATTTCTTGATTTGTTTCTCTCCCCCCCCCCCGTGTTATTATTTGCCAGTGTCCCTTTACCCCCTTCATTTGTTGTTGTGTGGCTCTTTGTGTTTACATAAAGTACACAAAAGTATGACAAGAACACAGAAAGGACAAAAGAGGCAATAAAACAAAGAATTCATGTAGAAATAATTAATTGCAACAAACTTTAAGTCACAGTTTTCCAGTTCTGAGACACCTGAAGTGTATAGTGAAGGCACACCTAAGATGACTTTTGGATAGAACTGTTAATCAACTGCGGTTCTTAAATGCTGAAAATTAAGATTGTATTGAAACAGTACATCATCCTCATGGAGGTGAATGACAATTGCCTTTTTCTGTTAGTGCTCCATAACACAGAAACATGGGCATTTCACTTTACTGTATGTTCTAGAGAATGTCTATGCCAGCGCTACCCATTGCCAAAAAATGCATTGTTGGTGTACATATTCTCCATGCAAAACAAATAGTAAGCAACCTCCAAACTTCACAGTTGCCCAACATGCAGTGCAGAAACTTTAATGACACTCTCTGAATGAATGGCACACTATTTGAACTGCACCTGAGAAGTTATCAGTCCACTTCACTATCTCAAAACGTAACACTGAATGACTGAAGAGATGTGACAACACGAAATAACACAATTTCATGAATTCACAAGTTACCCCATGTGCAATAAAATAAATTGTTTGCTTTCAGTAATTTGCAACATTAAGATATATTGATTACTCAGAAGTGGTAGAGCACAGGTTATGGAGGTAATCACAGCCAACAAACAATTCATGCTGCAATATAGAATTCTGTTTGTGCCACATGCTTCATAGACTTATTTCAGAGATTGTAAAAAAAAAAGTACATTGCACAGCTTAGAAAAATTTATTACTACCTTCAATCATATTTCTGAAATTTGTTATGGAGTGTGTAAGACAGGCATGGCCAAACTCGGCCCTCCAGATGTTTTAGGACTACAACTCCGATCATCCCTGCCCACTGGCCCTGTTAGCTAGGGATGGTGGGAGTTGTATTTCCAAAACATCTAGAGGGCCAAGTTTGGCCATGCCTGGTGTAAGACCATTATGATGTGAGCCTAAGCCCCAGTCGAATTTTGCCTCAGCATGTAATGGTTTGGCTTCAGCCCTCTGATCTGCCAGTTTCCATCCTTCTTCCCTCTTTCTCTTAACCTACTGAATTGGAGAAGAGGATGGAAAACAGTGAACAATGGTGAAGCCCAAAGCACTTCTAAACTATTGCAATGAAGGTGGGAACTCTGGGAAGTGTCATTAAAAAAAATTATTCCTGTTTTAACAGACACAGTTAAAAAAGTCCCAGAGTTGAAGTCTGCAGTGGAGGATCTAAAATCATAGCTGTCAACCTTTCCCTTTTTTTTAAAAGGGAAATTCCCTTATTCCGAATAGGATTCCTCGCAAGAAAAGGGAAAAATTGACAGCTATGTCTAAAATGTTCTGGCACAATCCCTGCAGAATGTTATCACTTAGGACGAGCTATGGCCATATGTCTTGGCTGGTGTTTATTCTTCTCTCTCCCCTGCCCCCAGAAACTTAGTAAGTTTAGGAAAGGCAGAAGAAGACATAACTGGCAAGTCACCCTGGCACCAGCAGAAGAGCTCCTGCAGGCCAAGTCTTTCTGAACTGCAGAGAAAGTTGAAAGAATTCTACATAAATAATTTCAAGAATTCTTCAAACAAACGAAACAAACAATGGTTTGGAAAGACCCAGATCAATCCAAACTGAGACAGGAAGTTTGACCCGGCTCTAACCAGGCCACTGTCTTGCTTCTGTTCCCAGCCACACATGCTCCAGAGTGGAGGAAAGCCAACAGTGACATCAAACAAACAATGGGACAGGAGGAATGAGCTTTTGAATCACAGATCTTATTTCCCCCCCCCACACACACACACATACAAAAAGGCCTTGCAGCATTTGTGAAAAATGCCTCAGGGAAAGTGGATATTTAGATCTTTAGTAGAATTGGTGTTTTTTTAATCAACTGAGATTGTCATAATATCACTAATAAACAATGACGTGAATTACAAAATGTAGAAACTATCAGGGGAAGATGTAAATAAAGTGATACATGGTAAGAGGTATAAGACTTTGCATGGTGTGGAGAAAGCAGAAAAGATTAATATTTTTTCTAGCTTTCTTAACTTAAGACCATACAGTAAAGCTGAATGTTACAAGATTCAGGATAGAAAAAAGAAAGCAATGGAATGCCAAGGGATCTCTTCCGAACCTTTCTCAGATATTCAGAGGCACAACATGAGCCTACCAGATATTCTCCGCTCAATGACCATTTGTGGCCAAAGTACCACTGTCCAAATAAAGTGCTGTAAAAACTTGCAATAATTAACATACGTGCTGCTCTGAATAATGGCTGTGTCTGCATGTGACGCTAAACCGTAGCTGAGAGTTACAAGGACAAGCCACAGCAAGCTCTGAACTCATGCACTTCCTCCTCCACTTCCAGCACAGTCATGAGGAGGAGTTTTGAAGCCTTTGATTCTGTTTTAGAATGCAGTTTGTTGTGGCATCCAAACAAGGGAAAAATGTGGTTAATCTTAACTATGGTTAGTTAAACAAGTCTGCTTCAAACCACACTTTAAGAAGCTGTCTTGTTTTTCATTAACCATGATTATGTTTAGTGATTCAATGTAGCATTAAGTTCCAATCTAAAATGGAAAGTTATGATCTCTTGCTTCACAGCCGCATTGGAAGTTGAAGAGGAATATTTTTGTCTGGTGCCTAAAGGTATATAATGAAGGCACCAGCCAAACCTCCCTGAGGAGAACATTCCACCAATTGGAAATTTGACCAATGCAAAGTGTGTGTGTATGTGTGTGTTTATGAAATACCCAACACATGTTCAAATCATGGCTTAACCTTATTCTGTACTCTACACACTTTTTGAGAGTTTCCAAGGAGGTGGCAAGTTGCAATTTGTTTTACAACTTTGACAAGACGAGTTTGGTTCACTTTTACCACTAAAAGGTTAGTTCATCTACCGATTAGCATCTGAATAAGTACCTGGCGTGCTCTGGTCCATGGGGTCACGAAGAGTCGGACACGACTAAATGACTAAACAACAACAACCATGCAGGCTGAACTACTGCTTCCAGCAAATATGAATCAGTTCATATGTTGGCTATTTAACAAGGTAGCACATTAATAAGGACTTCTAGATGCCAGTGGCTCAGACAGTCACTACAGGCACATCCTGCAGAACTGTTTTCG